AATCAATGCAAAGTAATAATCAAAATCAACAAGCAACTATAAACCAGAGACACACTATGGGGGTGGGGGGTTTAGGGAGGGGCAGGGAGAAGAACAACTAGAGTCAAAATAAGGGGAGGGGTGCAATTGTATGGGGAACATAACCAAAATGAAAATGCATACATCGTACAAAGACGAAAAATGATGTAAGAATTATATAAAATATTAAAAAAAGAAAAGTGACGAGAACATCCTTGCCTTGTTCCTAATCTTAAGGGAAAAGCTGCTTTTCTTACCATAAAGTAGTAACGTTAGTTGTATGGTTGGTTTACGGTTTTTTGTAAATATGCTTTAACAAGTCGAGGAAATTCTCTATTCCTAGTTTGCTACGTTGCTATCATGACTAGGTACTGAATTTCGACAGATGCTTTTTCTGCATCTAATATGATCATGTGATTCTTCATTAGTCTGTTATGTGATAAATTACCTTATCTTTACAAAGTAAAGAGTAAAATAGCAAAAATGAAAGGAGAAAGACCATCATAAACCAGTTGATTAAATGAGAATAAGAAAAAGAGCAAGCAATAAGAGCTTACATGAAGAAAAATGGGTTAAATCTTTAGGTGACATTTCTAGTGAGATTTAGGGGAATAAAATTTAAATAAAATAAAATATTTTTAAATTATTTATTATACAAGCACTGGGTACAGTCAGAAGCGCGGGAGGGTGAGAGAAATTCACCAGAGCCAGAGCGGAGAGCAGAAGAGGCAGACTGACAAAGTACACTGCTAAGGGGAGCAGCGGGCGGCAGGAGAGGTCTGCGCGCCATGTGGGACCCTCGCTGGTGGCCAGGGATAGAACCGGAGCTGCAAAGGCTGCTGGCAGCTTTGCAACCCAGCACTCAATGGCTGCACCACTGGGGAGGCCCAATAAAGGATATTATTATGTAAGATTAGACCATGAAAAGTTGCCCTTAACTTTGGCACCCTCCAGAGTTATTTGGAGAGATAAAATTGCACACAGGCCAAACCTGGGGAACATGCACTTAGAGAAATCTCTATCTCAACTTCAAGGCTGAAAACTAATTTTGGAGAGAGTGGTTATAAACTAAAATCACTGTCCAATAGAACTTTTTGTGATGATAGAGATGTGCTGTATCTGCAGTAATACCGTAGCCACCAACTGCATGGGGTTATCGAGAACTTGAAATGTGACTAGCATGACTGAGAAATAAAAGTTAAAAATTACCTAACCTTCATCCAAATGGCCACATGTGGTTGGTTAGGGGAAGCCAGTTTGGACAATTTGCAGAGTTCTAGAAAAATAGGACTTGAAAGTGAGACTGAAACACAATACACTGAGAGTTTAGAAACACTGAACTTTAATGCAACTGGCTATTCTATTTCTAAACACAATATTCCTCATTGCTTTCCCACTTCAACTGTAGCTATTTTTCAATTTCTGCAGGTTCCTCCTTATCAATACAAAAGCTGAATGTTGGAATTCATCGGGTTTCCATCCTAGAGGATTCCACCTTCATTCCACTCCACATGTTCTCCCTAGAAAGTCCTTGCTTCAACTATCTATATGCTCGATCCTGTTTCCAGAATTCATCTTCTAAGCACTGAATTTAAATATCCATTTGCTTACTTGACATCTCCACTTAACATCCAACAAGTAGTAGAACACATTTCTCTTTCTTCCTCCCAAATGAAAAGAACCCGTTTTCCTGCAAAGTTCCATGGTTGAATAAATACACCCATATGCTTAAGGCATAATCCTGGGAATAATGTTTGCTTTTCTCATTGTTTCATATCAATCATGGTCTCACTAATACATAGTTCTATGACTTCATTAAATGATTCTTTGCATCCCCACTGCTACAATCCCAAAGTCATTGTCACCTTGCACCTGAATTACTTTAATAGCTTCCACTTGCCTGCTTAGCCTCTAGTTGTGATTCTCTCCAATCCATTCTTCTCAAGATTATTGGAGTGATTTTTTTGCAAAATACTATCACAGAATGTTAAGAGGAAATATAAACATCAATCGGGTTTTGATTAGAACTACTTACTATTTGTTACATTCCTTGATAAGTTTTCTTCAGCCAATTAAATAGTCCCCATTTGGTCAGGTTTCCTTTCCCATTAGAGTTTTTGTTCTCAAGGAACATTAAAAACACAACCTAAAAAAAAGTTCTTTTCAAACGAGTATCACTTTTTCTAGGAATCATGAACTCAGTTTCCACCTTTATTTACCAAGACATCTTAAACATCTGAACAGACTTCCTCAAAAGTTTACAAAACAAGCATTTTCTTTATGGCACACGGAGAACATGACAAAAATAAGACTAAGGCTCACAGAATGGGGGAGGAATTACCTCTAATAATTCAATGTCTCCATTATAGAACAATCTTTACTGTAGGATATATTCATTATATACTATAATAGTGGGAAAAAAGTTTTTTGGGGGAGAGGTGTAAATAGTAGATAAAAATATAAATAACTGTATTGAAGGGCATTATTGACCATACAAAATACTTTGTTGAATCTCTCGGTGCATCTATGCATGTATACCTTATGCAGACAATTTGGCATTTTAGTTTTCCAAAAGATCAAACAGTAGTGAAAGTCATTTCTCTCAGTTCCACAATTTTGTGGTAGGATGATACTGCAAACTGATTTGATGTCCAACCTCAGTTATTTGTAGCACTGGAAAATTTTCAGAAGACTCAATGGCAAAACATTTACAAATACATTATTTACATGAATACCTTAATAAATGACTTTTTAAAAGGTAAAATGATTTTTATATAGGCAAAATAATCCACAATATGATTCAGGTTAAAAGTACATTTTCTGAAGGCCATTTATACCTTTTTCCCTTGAATCATAATTTACACAGCACAAGCCCTATTAACTATCAGTGGAAACTTGGGATCTTAAGTAAAAACAAAGTCAATACTGATTAAGTATGTTTTCAGAAACTATCAACTTTTGTAGTGTTCTATTTATAACACCTTATACTACATACTGCACAAACTATCATATATCTAATTAAAAACAAGTTCTGATGTACAGATTAAAATATATATAATTATATAATTTTAAAATAAATACAATTAAAAGACACTACTAATACAAAATTCCTTGTTACATTCTTATTTAACAATTATAACTTTCTGATTTATGAGTTTTGCGGTGAGAAATAAACACTAAAATAAAGGAAAATTATATATTAGTATACTTTCCCATTAAAGACAAATATTAAAATAAACTATTTGAATCATATACATAACAATCTTCTAGTAGTGAATACCAGGTTTTAAGTGCTAGCTAGATGGACATATTCAATAACAGGTTCTACAAAATCATGAAAATGGTATAATACAAATGCTATTTGTATATTAAGCCTGAACAGACTAATGGAAGGTTAAATTTTCCATATAATACCAGTAATGATGAAAGGTAAATTAAGATAAAATGAGTTCTAAATAATAACGGTCACTAATAAAGCATCCTTAAGACTCTAGATTTTCCAAGCAAGATATCTTTTGTAGTACCTATGACTTAAAAATGCTTATAATGTTATTTGAAATATTATTGAATCACCATTAGAATTGCTAGGATGAAGACCTAGTAATTTGCATAAAGATTGCATCTCCCTCTTACCCAACCATCTTCATTGTGCAAATGAAGAAAAAAATGCTCCTTCCTCAAAACTTCTTACTTCCATCTATCAGAAATTTGACATTCTATACTGCTTTTGATGGAATATGGTACTTTACTGCCACCTGTTGAAAAACTGATAATAAACAGATCTACAATGTGAATAAATCCCAAGATACTATTATACACTGACACAACCTGCAGAACTGGTACATGATAGCCCGACACATACTACTGTCAATAATGGACACTCATCCTCCTATTACCAAAGTTTAAAAAGGTCTCCGATCTGAAACATTTCAACTATCAAGTTGAAGTCTTGTTCACTAAAGCCATTTATGTTCAAACCAGTTTATATGTATAATGTGAGTGGAATAATTCATAAGGGTGTAAAAATAAAGTTTTTTAGGGGAATTAACAACCAACTTTAGTTTTGAACGTTTAAAAAAAACCACAACTCCCATCCTTATTTATATTTTAACTTATATGTTAATGTTAAAAGTAAACGTTTGGACTGTAAGACCAGTTAGTGATTTCCAGAAGGAAAGGGGGAGAGGGGTGGGTAAATTAGGAAAATGGGGGAAATGGCCTGGTGAGGGATGGATTTGGACTTTTAGTGGTGGACTTAATGTGGTTATATGCACATGCTGATTCCCATGATGCAGACCTGAAACGTGTTACAATGCAATATTACTTCAATTAAAAAATATTTTTAAAAAACCCACAATCGTTTCTTTAGAATTCTGCAAGCTGAAATCTGGACTCAATAATCATGAATTAGAAGTAACTGAGATGGATGAAAAGCAAAAATTTTAACAAAAATTATCAGACAGACATAAATTGAGATATACTAGTACTGTAACAGTTCATCCAATTTTAAATGATTTGGGTTTTTCCACTGCGATAAATTAGAAATATGCAATTAAAATTTTGGGGCACATTCCAATTGCATCATCACTTTTAATATAAGTACAAGCGAAGGTTTTGTATATTTTTCCAACAGTTTCTGTTGCCTGTTGTTTTCATTTGTACCCTTCAAAGTCATAAATTACTTAGCATCTTCCCCTTCATTCTGTATGAAATAATCATCTGGGGCTTTAAAAGTATTAAACAAGTACAAAGGAAGGGGGCGTCCCTTGTCATCCAGGGGCTAAGTCTCAGCGCTATCACCTTTACAACCAGAGTAAGATCCCAGCCAGGGAGCAGACCCACATATGGCATAGCAGACCTCTTCTGTCTCACCTACTGCTCTCCTTAGCAGTGCATTTCAATAAATCTGCCTGTTCTGCTCCCCACTCTGCATCTGGTGAATCCTCTCATGTTTCTCACCCGCCCCCACCCCACCCCACCCGAGCATATCTGGCCTACACCTCAGTTCTTCTACACAAAAATAAATCAATCTTTTAAAAAAATTAAAAAAAAAAACACAGGAAGGACTGTTTGACACTGTCATTTTGCTACTATATATTAACAAAAAGAAAGTCTAAGCAATGATTTTATAATGTACCACTCTTTGACTTTTTTTAATTATTTACTTTGCCCCATGAAGAAACTAAAGCTAATTTCTTTAAAAGAAAGAGAACTTTTCAATGTGCCAATCAGTCCCAAGGTAGTCCAGGAGAAGTATTAGCTCATATGTAGTTATTCAACAATATGTCTTATTATATTCAAACTCAGTATCAAATACCTTTATTTAACAATATCCCAATCAGAGTCTATTTAAGTTTCTTGTTGGAAGAAGTGATGGATGAAATTCATGGTCTCTTACAAGGTGACAACCATATATAAGACACATGTTTTATGCTTCTTAGAACAAATTCTAACTCCTCAGCTATATATGGTTTGTGTGTAATATCCCTGCTACATGTAGACTATGATGAGTCAGCACTTTCATTATAGACTAACATAAATGAAGGTAGGGGAACCAAAATATTTTAAAAACCGTATCTATTTTCATTTTAAGAAACAACAGCCATATTATTTTTCAAGAAAAGATACTAGGTTACTGACTTTAAAGTTCAAGTTTCATCATCTTAATATATAAACACACTTGGATATGAGATTTTAAAAAACCACACATACACACAAGCTCTAGGTAGAGCTATAATAAACAAATTCCTTTTATAAACAAAACTTTAACTGAAAAGCCACAGTAGATGGAAAAAAAGAAGAAAGGATATTACTTGGTAAAATCCAGTGACATCTACAATAGTTTTACAGCACATTTAAGCATTCTACGGTTTTATATCTTTACCTGTCTTCCATTTCTTAGTTGCTCCTTAAAAAATTGCCAATTACAAATAAAGGTTTGACCTCAAGCTTAGCCCTGAATTTGAGTGCCAGGAAAAGCAAAACAACACTTCAAATTTCTATCTTAATATTATAGCCTTAATTCAAAATTGGTTTATTTAAAACACAATGCACATCTAAATGGAGGAAAATTAAACCAAGCAGCAATACATAATTACACATAATAGGTTTCCTTATATGGGAAGTGTTTTTTTTTAGGATGATATCTAGAATGCACTTGCTCTGTGAGACTTTTCAATAATTAAAATTGACTTCGATCAACACTACCAAGGTAAGAGTACTGTATAAGGGGCACACATTTACAATACTGCTAGCCTTCAAAGCAGTAAAGCAAAAGAAAACATATCAAATAGCACATGCACATCTTACAGAACTCCACTGAACTATCAATGATTTCTATGCAATGTGCCTCTTTTTCCATCATTGTATTAACAACCACCAAGAAAGGAAAGATGAGATTAAAATGAATGGTACTGAACTGAGTTGTTTGAAGCCAGTGCCCCACATGTGGGGAAAAGTGCATTTAGTTCAGCAGCAAAACAGCACAGTGTGAAGATATTGTGCTTAGACGCAGATATTCCAGAATTGAAAGATGTGCAAGGCAAGTCAAGATATAAAACCATAGTACACTGTTAAATAACCTTGAAACATACATATATTGCAGTGTTCAAAGGAAAACATTCATTTCATTGTATAAGGATAGGGAGAAATCCTTAAAGTTACCTATTGTTGTTTATGATATTATAAATACATATCTATATAGCATTGTATATACACATATAGAATGTGTGTGTTTATGCATATTTTTCCCAAAATTATTATTTTTGTGGATCTGCAACTTTCAGGAATGAAAACTCATTTGCACTGTAAGCTTCTGTTCCCCCAAACTTAAGATAGTTTTACCAGGAAATGTGCCCAAGCCCTCCCCGCCAACCCAAAACTCACTTCAGATATTCTGCTTTGTAAGTGAACCAAGAAACACGATGAAAGGAATTCTAGAATTTTTGACTGTATTTTTTCACTTTGCCAGTTGTTTCAACAAGCAAATATCTTTAAAAGAGCTGATGCAAATTGGTAAGCAGAGTATATAAACTCTAGATGTGAATGATTAAAACAGAGCAAATCAAAACAATTAAAAAAATCCAGTGATTTACTCTGACTGTAAACAATATATAAAATTTAAATCTCAAATTTCAAAATAAGTTAAAAGAAAAATTCTAACTTCAGGGCCTATAATACTATAAAGATCTGACAATTGGTAAGGGGAAAATGTATATGAAGAGTTGTAACAAAATTTGCTTGCCAATTATTTTTGCTAAGAAAAAGTATATCTAACCATACTACCTCTGTCCCTTAAATTTATTAACTTCACAATCTGTTGGCAAATGTTTTAAGCAAACTGGCGTTATCATATTACACAACAGAAAAATGTCTTTCAGTTCAGCAAAGAAAACTTACACAAGCTTTTTGTACAGAATTAAAAAAAAATCTAAATGGCTATGATTCCTCTATTAGCATAAACACATAATGCAGTCTTTATAAATCTGCCAAATATATCGATATCTACATAAATAGATACAGATATAGATATGAAACATCGATGGCAGTCTATTTTTGAACAGTGTGTGGGACCAGCAGATTTGTATCAGACCATGGCACGATATGGACCCTGCATCTTTAGGAACTGAATGATGAAGGAAGGACCCCCAGCAACAATCTGAGGCGGAAGGTGACTGAGTGGACAGTTCTCAATACTCATGATTGAAAGCTTGCTGCAAAGAGCCAGCTCAAAGGGAAGGCTATGCAGGTTGGGGTTGTCATTCAAATACAGTTCTTCTAGGTTCTCCAGTGTACCTGTTTAAAAAAAAAATCAAATCAATTATTTTTTTAATAAATTAGTTAATATTAAATACACTCAACTGTCATGATGCTATCCTGGACATTATACATACTGAATATATATTTCCTCTTATTTTCTTCTCTTACTTTTAAAACTCTCTGCAATTGTGGTTCTAAAATTTTGCTGCATATTCAGATCAACTGGGGGGATTTTTAAAACTATAATGTCCAAGTCATACTCCATACCAATTAAGTCAGAATCTCTTCCTGGATGGTTCATTTTCAACCTTGGGCAGTGCGTTGGAGAAAAAAACAAACAAAACATGCTACATGCTGTTTGGGATAGCTTGGCATTCATATATGTTTTTTTCAAGACTCAAGAGGTAAATTTACAGTCAATGCCTATAGTTACTTTCTGTTATAAATAATGTGATAATCTCTCTTATTAATAAACTCTTGTGCAAAGTTTTTTGCTACCTGGTATAAATCTTTCACTAAGAGAATTATCACATTTTTGATAGTAAGCCAAAAATCAATCTATGTAATCTTTCAAAAATTTTTATTAGACTGTCTTAGGATCCTAACTCTCACTTTCTAGGCAAATGTCTCAACCAATTGCACGAGGCAGTTAAATATATAGATTAGGAATAAAAGTGTAAAGTTGATTCATATGTTTCTATTTTAAACTTCAAAATCTATAATATTTGATAATGATACATAGAAAACAAATAAAAAATAACAGCTAGCAGGTAATGAATTTGTTTATATTTAAGATTTTATTCTTCAGAGCAACCCTATGAGAAGATACTGTATCATCCTTCTTTTAATGGAAAGAAGGAAGCTTAGGAAATTTATGTAGTTTATGTACTTTATCTAAAGTCAAAAAAACCAGTAAGGGGCAGAGCCAGATTTTGAACTATCTTACTCCAAAATTATTCCCCAGCAATAACCTATAGTGCCTCTGGAACAGCACAGTATATATGGGAGCATATGATACATGGAATCACTAAGTGAAGAAGTAGCTTGTAAACTGGGGTTACAACCTGTACTGCCTAAAATGCAAGGTAGTCATACTGATTATATTAAATAATGGACATGAAAATTCTAAAGTACCTAAAATCTCATAAGGAAATATTCTTTTGAATACACTTCACTAATTTAAGTCTTTGTAACTTTTTGAATTTAGAATAAATATAAAAGAACTTCGAAATTAAGGTCAAACCTACTGGAAATGCAAGTTTGCAAAAACACTGTCAAACATAGTGTTAATACTAACACTCAATGAGGAAACCCATCAAAACCAACCAACCAACCAACTACTGGTACCCTATAAAAGAAATCTTAAGTCTGATTTAACTTCAGTTGACAAAACACAGTTGATTTTTCATTTATCTGAAATAGTACTTGAACAAATAAGAGCAAACTATCAGTACAGAGTCAAGCATCCAAAGGGTTCATACCAATTTCCTCAGGAAGATGAGTAAGCAGGTTCTCTCCTAGGCCTAGATGTGTGAGATTGGTAAGATGGCCAATGCCTCTGGGGAGAGTGGTCAACTGGTTGTTTGTCAGAACTAATTTCTAGAAGATTAACAGGACAAAAGATGATTAAATATATAAACTTCATATTACTGATGTAAATTTAAAATAATACATTGACTAAAAAAAGGAGATAAATTAACAGGGAAATTAGCTTTGTTAGGATGAGAATCACTTTATTGTTTTCCTCTAAAAAAACACACTTTTTAGGAAGAAAAAACAGATTAAAGGAATATAAAATTTAGCCCTAATACTCTAACAGGAAAAATCTCTCTGTTCTAAGAATTAGATGAAATTCTTAAGAAAAACATGCAATTTGGAATGTATCCTCATAATCATACAACATAAAATCAGCATAAAGTTTTACCTGTAAATCCTTAAGATAAGCAATTTCATTTGGCAAGGATTCTAATTTGTTCTCCTCTAGATCCAACTCTCTTAACTTCCTAAGGTTTCCAAGACCATGGGGAAGCTTCTTTAGAAGATTGTTTGATAATATTAAAACCTAAAGATAAATTATTGATAGTGTTTGACCATTCGGAATTATATATTACCACTGCATGACTTAAAATTTTATATTAATTTTATACCAACTTGCTAAGTAGCAAATATTAAAGGTAGTAACATAATAACTTACTATTCTAAAAAACAATTACGTATTTAGATAGATGTTTAGAAATAAAAAAGATTTTATCAGATTAAGTCAAAACTAATTAAAGCAAATGGAAAGAATTTAATTAAATTACCAAAAAAGAAAATTATTAACTACTTGTTTTAAGGTACTTTTAGCTAATGATATTTTGATAATGAATAGTTACAAACATATATCTAATAGAAAACCAATTATTTATTCAAAACCCTTTATAAGCCCATTATTTAAGGTTAAGGTAATAAGTGATTTCTAAACTGCCTATATCAGCCCACAACAATTATTATTTGTAATATAATGCAAATTTATACAAATACAAATTGTAATTTGAAGAGGGCAAAAAAAGGTTGAGAAAAGCAGTCCTTGTTCTCAGAGAAGTTACAATCTAGAAGGGGGTGGGGGGGGAAGGAGACAACATTAGGCATGGGAATAGTAAAAAGAACATTGGCTCCAAAGATCTATTGATACATAAAGATTTGGTTAGTATTTTATACCCACTTATTTCTCCAAAGGTTATACCACCCATGATATAATAAACATACACAATAAGACCAAAAAAATAATAATAGCAGTTACTACTGAGTTTATTATTTACAGGACACTGTACCTAATGTATTATATGTGCTGTTGTATTTAATCCTAACCACAACCTTAGGAAGAAATACCAATATCCTGATTTCAATTTTAAATGCTCTTTTATTACTCACTTCAAGAGAAACGAGACCAGACACATCCTCAGGGATCTTTGTAAGCTGATTGGTGGCTAAATTCAATTCTACCATACTAGTCCAAGTTCCAAAATCCAAGGGAAGTGATGTCAACTGATTGTCCTGGCAAAGACAAAAAGATGCTTGCATCCAAAGAACCACCACAAAAGTAAAACCCCTTATGTAACCCCCAATGCAAGAGCTTTCTTAATTAAACAGAAAACTTTATTTCCTTAGTTGATATCCAAACAAAAAGGGAAAAAAAGCAACAAAAACTATATGCCTTGGAAGTTTTTCACACAGCAACTAAGTTTTCACTTGGAGGCTAAACTGCAAGTTTGTTTCTCATGTGATTATCTATATTAGGTATAGAAAAATATAACACATATAACAACAATTTAGATTTCAAAGGTCCCAATGATAAATAGGATATTTTCCCCATTCCACAGTAATTTACAGAAATGTATTGAACACACTGAATTAGATATTGAAAGAATATCTAATTACAGTTCACAAGAAAACAGATAAGCTCAGCATTTCTAGAGATGCTGAGCAATAAAGGACAGGGGGAAAGTCTAAAGACACATTTTCGATCAATACCAACTTTCAACACACTGTTGTGTGACTATTAATATTGAAAGGGAAACCATCAGTACCTAACCCTGCCCCAGTTAGGTACCAATAATACATGCCAACATGTTAATAGGGATGTTGCCTCTCACTGGTGGGAGGGCTTATTTTATGTCCTCCTTGTTCACCTGTATTTTTTATTTTTTCTGCAATGTACATGGACCACTTTTCTCATTTTATATAAAATCCCCATAAGAGAAATTTCATGAGGCAAATATTTATTTACTTGCTTTATATCCTGCCACTTTACTGTACTCATTATTTCTGTAAGTTGTTTTGTAGAATCCTTCAGTTTCTCTAAGTAAATGAGCATGTTATCTGTGAACAGTGTCAGTTTCACTTCTCCTTTCCCAGTTTGAATTCCTTGTATTATTATTATTATTATTATTATTATTATTATTATTAACTTGCCTAATGTTTCAGTTAGGACTTCTAACTAAAACTATGCTGAATATCAATGGTGATAGTGGACATCTCTGTATTGTTTCTTTTTTTTAAGATTTATTTATTTATTTATTTATTTATACGAGCACTGGGTAGAGTCAGTAGCGCGCGAGGGTGAGAGAATTCACCAGAGCCAGAGGGGAGAGCAGAGCAGGCAGTACACTGCTGAGGGGAGCAGTGGGCGGCAGGAGAGGTCTGCGCACCATGTGGGGCCCTCACCTGGCAGCAAGGGATCAAACCAGCGCTGCAGAGGCTGCCCGCAGCTTCGCAACCCAGCGCTCAACCGCTGCGCCACCGGGGAGGCCCTCTGTCTTGTTTCTGATTTTAGTGGAAATGTTTCTCACTATTATGATGTTGTCTTTGGGTTGCCATATATGGCTTTTGTAATATCTAGATAGGTTCCATTTATTCCTATTTTTTGGAGAGTTTTTATCATAAATGGATGTTGGATCTTGTTGAATGCTTTTTTGGCACCTATTGAGATGATCATGTGATTTTTGTCTTCCTTTTTATAATCTGATGGATGACAGTGATTGATTTGCATAGGCTGAACCAGTCTTGCATCCTTAGGGTGAAGCTTACGTGATTGTGGTGAATGTATCCGTTCGCCTGGATTTTGTTGAGTAATTTTGTATCTGCATTCATCAGAGATACTGGTCTATATTTCCTTTTTGGTACTATCTTTGCTTGGTTTTGGGATCAGGATAATGCTGGCCTCATAGAATGTGTTGAGGAGTTTTCCTCCCTCTTTGATTTTTTTGAAGAGTTTGAGTAGGCTAGGCATTAAATTTTCTTTCCAAATTTGGTAAAATTTACTGGAGAAGCCATCTGGTTCTGGGCTTTTTTCTGGGGGAAAATTTCTATTACTTTTTCATAATTTCAGTACTTGTACCTGCACTACTTTTTTTTAAAGATTTATTTATTTATTCATACAAGAGCTGGAGCACAGGCCAGAGATTCAGGGAGTGAGAGGATTCACCAGAGGCAGAATGGGGAACAGAACAGGCAGACTGACCAAAGTACATTGCTGAGGGGAGCAGTGGGCGAGTCAGGAGAGGTCTGCTGCACCATGTGGGTTGCTCCCTGGCAGGCCAGGGATCGAACTCATGCTGCAGAGGCTGCAGATTGCTTCATAGTTCAGTGCTTAACCCCTTGCACCACCAGGGAGGCCCCTGTACCTGGACTATTAAGCTTTCTATTTCATCCTGGTTCAATCTTGAGAGACTGTGTGAATCTAAGAATTTGTTCTAGGTTGTTCAATTTGTTTGCATGAGCTTCTGTGTAGTTCTGCAGTATTTGTTGTAATTTCACCTCTTTCCTTCCTGATTCTATTGATTTGGGTTTTCTCTCTCTTCTCTTAGTAAGTATAGCTGATGGGCTGTCAATTTTATTTATTTTTTCAAATAACCAACTCTTGGTTTCACTGATCTTTTTGTCTTTTATTTCATTTATTTTTACTCTAATTTTTTTTATTTCTCTCCTACTGGTTTCAGGGTGCTTTTCCTAGTTTCTTCAACTGCCATATTAGATTGTTACCTTGACATCTTTCTTTTTTTTATGTGGGCCACTATTGCTATAAACTTCCCATGTAGTACTGCTTTTAAAGCATCCCATGGCAAATATTTATTTGAAAACTGAGTTCATCTTTTATTATATTTAAACTAATTATCTAGCTGTGTCTAAACTACTGGTAGTTATAGTATGATAAGATACTATCATTATAAAAATTTGCTACTGGTGCTTACATGAAGAGGAAATGCCAGGTTTCATTTTGACTTCTTTCAAGAAAAAAAAAAATTTTTTTTTTTTTAAATAGAGGCAAGTTTTATTTATTTATTTGTTTGTTTGTTTTGTTTATACATGCACTGGGCACAGTCAGAAGCGCAGGAGGGTGAGAGAATTCACCAGAGCCAGAGCAGGGAGAAGAGCAGGCAGAAGGACCGAAGTACACTGCTGAGGGGAACAGCGGGCGGCAGGAGAGGTCCGCGCGCCATGTGGGACCCTCCTCCAGTGGCCGGGGAGCAGCCAGGGATCGAACCGGCGCCGCAGAGGCTGCGGGCAGCCTCGCAACCCAGCGTTCAACCGCTGCGCCACCAGGGAGGCCCGAAAAAGTTTTTTTTTAAATATTTGTCATGATTTTGAAGAAAATTTAAGGCAAAACTCTAGCCAAAGTTTTATTCCTTGAAAACAGTAAGCCTTCCCAAACTAACACATTACAATGACATCAGTTTAGCAAAAATGTGTAACCGAATGCAAAAACTAATCTACATCTGGACTGCTGTGTTCCTATAAATGGAAATTCAGAATTAATGCCTTTACCTACTAAATCTCAAATTGCCAATAATGATTAACAATAAATTTTATACTTAATATTATAATTATCTCCAATTTCCATGCATTCACTTATTACATACTTCCAAATAATTGTAAATGATACATGCATTATCATTTACAGATAGAATCAGGTATAGCTAGAATCAAGAAATTACATGTTTAGACTGTGGTTCAAAGAACCACAATTATGTTGAAATGGCACAAAGACGAAAGGATGTACTATAACACAATAGAAAAAAAACTACAGCTATAAGCAGAAAATAAAGATTTCCTAGATTCCCACCTCAATCATGAATTAGCTATATGCCAATTTACTTATCACATCTGGGGCTAAGGTTTTTTCACTACAAATTAAGTCACTGGAAAATAATCACTTTTCATTTCTTTCCTCCTTTGGAAACAGATTCCTCCCCATACACCCCTCCCCTTTACAACAATGTAAAAGTCATTCACTATAAAGGATATATATATATAGACAAGAAGAAATTAAAGATTACTCATAAATAATTCTTACACATTTTGGTAAATACTGCTTATATGTATGATATAAGTCTATAGACATTTAATATATAATTAAGCACATTAAAAACAACTTTAAAAGATATATTGAAAAAGAGTTTTACATGCTTTAACTTTTTTCTACTTAGTAAGTTGAAAATATGTCAGCTAGTATTTAACATTCTTTAGACTACTGTTTTCAATAGCTCCATAATATTCCAATAAGATAAATTACTTTTAAAAAAAGGGAAATGTCTATTAATAACTTGGTATCAACTAAGTAGAAAGCTCTACAATAACTATCCCTACAGCTATGCTTTTATGGACATTCAAGATAATTTCCTTAGGACAAATCGCTAAAGGTAAGCACAGTCCTAAGAGCTTTGTTATCTAAAACAAATTGCCCTGAAGTACTCTTATTATCAGATTAGACCCCATTAGCACAAAACAAGTACCCATTCACACAGTGATAGAGAAAACATAAGTATTTGCACATGTTCTATTAATAACAGCTTTTACCCAGACTCCCCATCACAGAGACTTACCTTCATATTCAGCTTACTTAATACTTTTGCTCTGGAGAAAATTCCAAATGGGATTTTATTGATTCGATTGTGTTCCATGTTCAGGGAATAGATGGTAGAAAACTGAGATGGACCACCTACTGGATATAACTGGAAGCAATTTCTAGCTAAGGTCAAACTATTCAGTTTCACAAGACTTGATAAAAGACTCTGTAAAAAAATGAAACAAGCATAAGAACTATAACAAGACTTATTCTGTACAGAGCAGCAGTCCCAAACACAAATGTCTCAAAGGGCCCTGAAGGGAACAAACATTAGAGGCTGGGTTGGACAGATCTGTAATGCCTCACCCAGAGTGACAGTCTCTCGCCTCAGCTCTAGTCATTGGTTGCCTTTCAACATAGGTTTGTGGAGCCAATGAAGTCATCTCTACATTTTACAAAAAACCAAAAAATTCACTAATTTGATATCTCCTGATTTTTATTCTTTGATTTTAATTTATTTAAAGCACTCAGTAAATGTAAAGAAAATATGTCTGCAGGAAGAGTTGTCTTATCGTAAGTGGCCAGTTGGACTCAGTCTACACAGCAGTAACTATCAGTTAGTCCTGGGTGTGAGTCCTGACTCTGACACTTGCTATGTGGCCAATACTATCTAGGTGTTAGTTAAGTACCAATCTCTAAATTATTTTTAAGATAAATATAATGCCTGGCACAAAGTAATTTAATGCTTTCGTTTAGGAATATTAAATTCAAAAAATGATAGTACATCCTGACATTGTATGATACATTGCTCTTCTATGTGGTAAAACTTCTAAGGGAATATGCATCTACCAAACAAGTGTATCACCCTATCTCCCCTTATTTCAGTCTCTTACCATGTAACCACAGTACTAGGTATTAAGGTATTATAATAGAAATCTTTGTCATTAAGAAAAATAAACCCTATTTAGAGAAATAAACCATTCAGGAAAAAAACAGGAAATGGTATATAACTGCACATAATCAATAATAAATTATATAGACTAGGCTCTCACTATTTAATGTCTGGTATCAGCATCCCCTGAGAGCTTATTAAATTGCAGACTCTAAGGCTCCACACCTACAGAATCATAGTATGACTCTCAACAATATTCCCAGGTGATTTATTACATGCTCATACATATGTTTGAGAAATACTGGTATAGGCCATCAAACAGTTTTGAAACCTGGCTCTATAAGTAGCTTGTGACTTTTGGCAAGTTATTCTTCTTAGTTTATCCATTTGCAAAATAACACATTATTTTATCGGTCATAATGAAGAGTTTAAAAGAGATGACATATAAGTGATGAAGCTGTAAATTCCTTTTCTATTTAAATTCAAAGAAAACAAGAAATAGTGGAATAACAAGAAAAGCAGCTCTAGCTCTAGACAGATAGGTCTTGAAAGATGAAAAAAATTTAAATAGTCAGATAAATAGAAGAAAACCTTGTAGACTGAAGTAAAAGCCCAAGGAGAAAACAATCAGTGGAGGTGTCTCTGTGCGTGTGTGTTTTAAATAATGTTCATATTTCAACTATTTTCCATAAGGAAATTGAAGACTTAGTATCTGGAGATATCAGCTGATTTGCAAGGCCAACTGAAGAAAATATGTAACTATATAACTGAAGGTGCACTTTTATGGTGAAATGAAACTTGCTCTTTATACTAAACATTAAAGAAGTGTCTCCACTAGTATAAACAGATAAAAAGTAGACAAAGAGTGCTGTTGAGAAAATTGCATGGCAGTAATTTAGGAAAAATATCTACATCTTTCTTTACCTAAAACAAATGAGTTTTATTGCGTCTCACGGTTAAAACAATATTCTTACAACTGATTACTTTATTGAACGGATATTCTTCAATGATAAAATGTTAATATCTAAGGCTATTTGAAAAGGGGTAACAAGGAAACTCTCTAGCCTCATTCTTAGATTACACTGTGAAGCTTTGAGATTGCTTATCATTGTTTTAGAGTCAGTCACTTCTGATTCCTATCTTACTTAGATCCTCTGCTAACCAGTTTTTGTGACCTTTGGTAAACTAGATAATCAATATCATTTTCACCATATTCCCAGAAAAATATTTAAGGCAACAAACGTGGCCAAGAAAATAACTTCTCTTATTTTCCTATTTGATGAGATTACTCCAATAACTAGTAGGATTACAGTAAAAATTTAAATGGGAAAGAAATCACATATAGCGTTCCCAGTCTTTGCTTTGAGCATACATGTTTAAATGTCTTAAATTGCTTGATCTTATGTTTACATTGAATATAGTCCATTTTCAGACATCAAATGGAACAGTAGAGTCATTTTGCAGGCTGTAATTTCAGCAATATAGAGAACCCCAATTGAAAATCACTTTCCTGATTTTTCTTGTCGAACTCAGCTTGAATGTCTAGTAAGTGCTGTTTAATGGATTTTATTGTTTTCCTTATTGTGCTTATTAAAAATGCAGATAATTACACATTGGCTTTAGGCATATGTTGCTTTCAAAGCACAAACTACTTTCAAATATGACTTACTGCTTTGCCATATTTGGACAAGGCCAATCAAGGGTCTTCTTCTCTATTTGAAAATGGGCTGGTTTAAACATACACCCATGTGCGCACATACACACTCACAAGCATAAACACACATACCTTCCAGAGCCAAACTTAAAGAGAGCTGTCCTCACTAAAGTTCTCTAATCAAAAGTAAATCCTGGGGGGCCTCCCTGGTGGTGCAAGGGGTTAATCCTACACTATGAAGCAATCCGCAGCCTCTGCAGCACGAGTTTGATCCCCGACCGGCCAGGGAGCAACCCACATGGTGAGGCAGACCTCTCCTGACTCGCCCGCTGCTCCCCTCAGTGGTGTGTTTCAGTCAGTCTGCCTGTTCTGTTCCCCACTCTGTCTCTGGTGGATCCTCTCACCCCCAGCATCTCTGGCCTGTGCCCCAGCTCTTGTATGCATAAATAAATAAATCTTTAAAAAAAGAAAAAGTAAATCCTGGTGGCACAAGGGGTTAAGACGCAACACAATGAAACTATCCACAGCCACTGCAGCACAAATTCGATCCCCGGCCAGGGAGCTGACCCACATGGTGCAGCAGACCTCTCCTGTCTCGCATGCTCCTCCCCTTAGCAGTGTATTTCAATCAGCCTGTTCAGTTCCCCACTGTCTCTGGTGAATCCTCTCACCGCCCCCCGCACCTCTGGCTTGTACCCCAGTTCTTGTATGCATAAATCTTTTTTAGAAAAGTAAATCCTCACTTTTTTGAGTCACAAAATAAATATGAAAGTACTTAACACAATATCTGTATCTTAAGAGGTATCCAATAATTACTGCTTTGCCATATTTGGACAAGGCCAATCAAGGGTCTTCTCTATTTGAAAATGGGCCAGTTTAAACATACACCCATGTGCCAATGATCTGGGTATTGCTGACAATCTGTTATATCTCAGACCAAGACTGGATATATATAAAATAAATTTTGAATTTCTCATTTTGTGAAATTTGACACTCTTTAGATTTAGGCATACTGACACTATAAAGGGGTCAGTGTTAAACTCATAAATCAAACCTAAAAGGAACCCATCAAATTATAATTACTACAAATCTGTAACTTCATCTACCCAATTGTTCTTTATAAATCAAAACATAAATTTGAAAATTTTTATCCAAAACACCCTTATTTTTAACTCTCTTTCTCTCTCTCTCACATACACACACGAAAAACCAGTAACAGTCTAAACATAACAGTTACTTACAGAAGATATTTTGAATTGTTAGAAAAAAACTTTGCAAAGCTTATAAATCCACAAATTCACATTTCCAGCTTTTTGTTAGATTACAATAAGATTTGCTTATTAAATAACCACAAGCAGATATATAATTCATTGGGTATGCTAAAATAATAGGTAGCAAAATAGAAAAAGCAAAAGTGATAAAATAATAAACACTGAGGAAAACAGTCTATAGAAAGTATAGAAAGAGTACTATATCTTTCCCAGTTGACATCTAAGCAAAGTAAGTGAAAATCTTTTTCTAATAGAAAAATCAAATTAAAAATAATTTATTTGAAAAAAAAAATAACAGATTCTGGTGATAGAGACATATGCTAAATAGGCTCTAATATTATATAAGCAAAATAATAATTTGGGTAATAGGAGTACTGTAGGTAATATTAATCTTTATAATAGTGTGTTGTATGTAGTTCTTTCTTTTCATTTATCATCCATCTACACTACTTTTTCTTTTTTTAATAACTGAACAAGGTGCGGTAGTTAAGTTTTGAATCCAGTCTGATACCCTTTCCTTAATTGTTATCACCACTTCCCAAAATGACATCAGAAAATGTATGTGGTGCTAAAGAAGAATGCAGCACACTGATTTTCCACCTTGGCTTTTTCCTTCCGCACAAAAGAAAGAAAAAAATATCATTTTTTTAAATGTTCCTATAATCAGACATATTCTTCCTTCTTTGGAATTTTTACCATGGTGGTAGCTAGTTGTTCATAGCATACTCACAATCATAAAATTATTTACCCTGTTGTAAAAATTTAGTTTCTCCTGTCATTATTTTGCAGATTTGTTTCTAGTTCTTACCTCTGGTAAAGTAGAGATGTTATTATTCTCTAAATTTAATTCTTCAAGTGCACTGCATTTTGCCAATGATCTGGGTATTGCTGACAATCTGTTATATCTCAGACCAAGACGACTTAAGCTGGACAGGTTTCCTGTGAAGACAAAAAAGGAAATTAATACTTTCATTTTTAAATCTAGTGAGTCTCTCACTGTCTCAGGCTATCAACCAAATATTTATGAATTACTCTGAAGTACTATTTTAGCAAGATCCTTAACTTCTATTACCAAGGAACTACATTTTGTCAATTAGTATGAAAATGAAATACTTTTGTGTCTACTTGTCTTAGAGAAATAACGAAATGCACAGCATTTGTAAGTCTACAAATATTTGCAATAATTTTTCTCAGATACTCAACTTCTAAGCAGCCTATTTTTAGATATCACAGAGGAAAAAGAGAACAAGTACAACTCTGTCTTCCCCCTACCTCACCAAATAATTTTTTTAAATTACAAAATACATGAATACATTTTTCTCTCCTCCCTAGATAACTACAGTTTATAATCTAACATGCAATTAATGAGATCTATCTCTCAGCACTTTTTGTGTGTAGAAAAACTGGGTTATAGAGCAGAGGTAGGGGGAGGTAAGAGGGTTCACCAGAGACAGAGTGGGGAGCACAAGAGGCAGATTTACTGAAATACACTGCTAAGGGGAGCAGTGGGTGAGACAGGAGAGTCTGCTGTACCACATATGGCTTAGCTCCCTGGCCGTGGATATGTAACATATTACCTCTTCCGTGTAACAGGTCATAGAAATATTTTCTTATGAGTAAATATACATAGAACTCATTTTATTTAACCATTAAATTTTTTAAGATTAAATGATTTTGTTTGAAAAGAGTATTCTGAAAATATCATACATAATTTTTCACCTACACATAAGAAAACCAGACAGTATGTGATAAAATCAGTAATGAAAGAAAGACTGGAAAGAGCGAGGATTATTCACAACAATCTCAAGCCTCAATCATAAACTTTGTCAGAAGTAGAACCAGAAGGAGTATACCATCCCACTCCATTTAGCCTGTCTGTATTGCCTCTGAAAGGAAAGAAAGTATTAGAGCTAAAATAAACTTCACTGAATTTATCAACACATTCCTTCTTCTGGGCCTTAGTAAGTATCTCAAGTTCTTCCTCAAATACCTTCCATTTTTTCAAATCTTAATCCTCACCAATAGCTCCAGTAACATATTGATGAATGGCATTGATGATTCGCTCTAGTTTCAAACTTCAATGAAATCACTGTGGATAATGTCTGAATTATCAGGAGTTTGCTTTAACTCCCGCAGGATGTACGCAGTGTATCCTAAACTACTGTCCAGCTCCAGTGCCAGTAACCTGAGTATTCTTGCATAACACAAGGAGTTACACTGAGTATACTTAAAAGCTGTGGTGCCTACAATAAGGCCTCAGACTGTGGATTCCAGCAAATCTTTGTTTTTTGATAACAACATTGCTAAGTAATGACTTGTCAATGACACCATTATTTCTCTTCTCACTTAAAGACCAAAGAAAGTGCAAACTTCATTTTCATCTTGTTGTAAGACTGGTCCATCTAAAGAACACAGTAGCTCCCATTTTTCGTTTTAGAAAGTATTTGTAAAGCTAGCTCTTCAAATCCTGATGCAACAATACCATCAGATAACTCTGGGGATAATTTTGGCAGTAGGGCTATCACAAACATTAGAAACTGCAATAAAGTCACCAAATGAAGACATCCTATCAGCCCCTCTTGCTCTTGCATATGCAGTTGGTATGGGTATAAGGGTTTGATATGGACTATAGACCATGCGGATTTTTGCCATCATCTTCACTGAGTGCAGTACCTGCTGGTCTGGCATGTTTGAAAGAGACAGAGGATAGAACAGCTAAAGTTTGAGTTCCTTCACCAATTGTCAACATTCAAAGTATCATACAAGTTTATAAATCCATTTAAAATTGCAATGGGAAACTTGGGATTCAGTATGTACAAAAAGGGCATCTGAGATACTCCTTTACTTAGTATTTCCTGAAGTAATCTGAAATTGCTTTATCCTACTGTACCATATGGGTATCATACTATGCCTTCAAAACTAACTGGCATCTAGGCTCCAAGGAGACATCTTCATTGTTGGAGCTCTGTATCTCCATGGAGACAGTCACCTAGTAAGCTGGTTCACACATGACTGTCACACAAGCATCGTTTTTGGTAGCTACTCTCAGTAGCAGCCTGTATCAGCCTGTTCAACAGCCTCTCCAACAGTTATAGCTGGAGAAGCCACTGTCTGCACAAAGGGATAGAGATTATAAATGGCATCTCTTACGAGACAGAAATCAAGTCTGGCCAAGTCAGTACTACCTCTTGGTATATTACGAGCCAACATTCCGCATGAACTGCAGGATGCACACACCATACCATACCCTGCTCCCAACATTTCAGGAATCCCATCAGGTGAGGGACATCTTTGATAGCCAGACAACCATCCCTGAGAACTTTCGCAGTCCCTCCAGAAGCAACCAGATTCAAAACCCATGGAAATTAGACTTCTGGCAAATCCCACAAGGTCAGTTTTGCCAGGGATACTACTGACACTAGGTGCCATGCCTGAAGGTGGTGGGGTTCAAAGGCATGTGGGGGCAGCCTTGTCAATGCCAAGTGTGGAGGATAACCACCGTATTCTTTGATGTGTGTGTACCATTATCTATTTAATCATTCCCCAATTGATGGTGTTTGTTTCTAATATTTAAAAAAGAATTCTTTAATAAACATCCTTAATACATATGTCCTTGTGTATGTGTGACAAGTCACAAATTTCATCTCCACCAAAAGTGAAGGCTAGTGCCCTCTGGTCACATCCTTTCAAAATGGGGAGAGCAGGGGAAGGTATCAATGTTTTCCCTTGCCTATTCCATGCTCTTGGCCCCTACAGCTATAGCAAGATTTGCAAAGGTAAAATTTTTTTGTAAGTAGTGATAATGTCTGACTGTGAAGAACTTTTTAAGATCTTCTGATAAAACTTTAATTTGCTAATACAGTTGAAGATAAAAGGCAAACGCTTGTGAGAACTGGAAGTAGAAAAGACCATCTTTCTCCTTACTCTGACCACCACAGCCCTATGGAAGAAAGCTGTTCCACTGTAATAAAATGGCTGAAGCATTCACTAAGGGGACTATGAAATCTGCTGGAAGAGGAAAGGGCTTTTTAAGTAGAAATTCCTCAGAAATTTTCTTCATCAACAGGCATGCCTCATTCAATCACTGTTTACAGTAGAATAGTAGATGAATATAGTACCTATCCATTTTTTTTTTTTTAATTCTCACTGAAACCTAAAAGCGTCCTGTGGTAACAGATTAGTATGGTAACCAAATTCAATTCAGAAGTACAGTCAATAGAACAAGATTCCAAGAACTTCTCTTCCAAAAGCAAAATAACTCTAAGTTTCTCACTTTTAACATCAGAATAGGTTTCCAGAATTTGAAAATTATAAAATAAAAATGGTGTAGTGAAATTACCACACACTAGTGCTTATTTTAACAAATTTAGTGCTTATTTAAACCAAATGGCACTTCCAATTTTCCTAATTTTTCCCTCCTTCCAATCCCTCATTTTTGTGGGTATAAAAGAGGTTGAACTTAAAAAAAAATGTACTCCATGAGAATATGCTATTCTGACAAGGAATCCCACATTTGTAAATGCCTTATCATTTCTTGAGAGCATGGTATTATAAAACAGTCATCCATACTTTACCAAAACCCATTGTTATAAGCAAAATAAAAGATGAGAAAAATAAGGATGAAATATCCAAATTCTCTTATGCCAGAAGAAAAAAAACTGACCTCAGAAGTCTGGTATTTACTGTGATTCACCCTCTGCAGTGGTTTCAACTCTAACCTCTTTTAATGAGCAATGAGAAGTTTTAACCACAAACTAAACAGCAGTCTAGAAATCAAGTCAGAGCTTGCTTGAACCACTGAACCACTGAAGCTATGAAATAAAACAATGTTGCTGGGCTTCTGCCTATAAATGCAGTTATCATTACTAATCACCTGCAGCTTGCATTTAAGTGCTTAACTTTTACAAATAATTGTTGTATGTTTTGCTTTTACAGGTTTGCTTTCTTGTGCTGTCAATTTTTTTAAATATAGCAAATTTTTTAAATATAGCCTATGAATTAAAGTAAGATGCTTTCAATTTCTGCAATTATGATCAGCATCTGTAGGTTAATTCAGTGTAACTTTTGAGTAAGACTAATTCAAATAGCCTTAATCTTATTTTAATAAAGTAGCAGAAAATCAGCAGGAAGACATATAGTTCTAATAATGAAACAAAGTCAAAAATACATTTTTTCACAAACACTACATTGAAAAACTGAAAGCAAACAGAAACACAAAATAAAAATTCTTAAATGTCAAAAACCACAAAAAACACCACCTTTAAAAAGAAAACTAGTAAAGTTTTATATGTAAGTTATACTGTAATTACCTAAAACCTATTTACTAAAACTCTACTTGTTGGTATAACCATAGTTAATGTAACAGTTCTTCAGAGCCCAGTGTAACAAAAAGACCTCTGTGAATTGTTCTGTGCTCCAGCCTTGAAGGCAAGGTCTTGCTGCATATTTCTCTCTTTATCTCATTTTGAGAAGAAACAGAAAATATAATGTTTGTTCTACTTCAAATTCCCTACCTTCTTTGTCATAAAACCCTTAAATTATCTCAAAAGGCTTTACAGTATCAGGTTCACAGTTTGAAACAAAATTATTTATATTGAAGCTTAGTAATTCCTGAGTCCATAGGTAATTCTTGAATTTAAATTTTTTTACACAAAATGTATTTTTTATTCATTAATAGAGCAGGCTAAGGGTTAAATCAGAGAAACCATAAATATCTCTTGAAGCACTCTCTCACTAAACTGCAACCAGCTTTACCTCTCACCATTTCTTTCTCCCTCTTTTCCATATTTTATGAGCTGTCAGTTATCTTGGCCTAGAAGTAAATGACAGTGATTATCACGAAGGAATTATCAGTAGTCTAGAAGTACTCACGTTAAAGGGGCCTAGTTATGGGCGGCGGGGTGGTGGGAGAGGAGGGGGGGTGTGTGTGCGAAGAAATTAAGTGATTTTTAGAAGATTTTATTCTCAGTTGTAAGTTTAAGGCAAGATTCTACAGTCTAAGGTATAGAGTAGGGCAGCTACTTATTGCAGGGCTAGCATCAACTCTCTAAAACAGAGTGGGGAGCAGAACAGGCAGACTGACTGAAATACACTGCTGAGGGGAGCAGCAGGTGAGGCAGGAGAGGTCTGCTGTGCCATGTGGGTCACCTCCCTGGCCGGGGATCAGGGATGGGGCTTGTGCTGCAGCAGCTGCGGATTGCGTCACAGTGCTGACCTTAACCCCTTGTGCCACCAGGGAGGCTCCTGTTTGCTTTTCATTTTAATTTATACTTTTCAAGAACTAGACAAGTAATACAGAGAAGTATCAGAATTATATTCCAATTAAGTAAGCTGTTCTTCTCCAACAAATGAGAGGAAGAATCTCAAAGGTCAATTAAGACTGTTAAGATTTATAACAGTTCAAAACTCAAATCTCCAAATTTCTCACTATACCTCAACCTTCTGATATACAATCAAAATAATATAGATACAGGGCTGGAGAAAGGGAATACAATTATTTTCTTTTGTTTTAAAGATTTATTTATTTATTTATACAAGTACTGGGTACAGTGAGAAGCGCGGAAGGGTGAGAGAATTCACCAGAGCCAGAGCGGGGAACAGAACAGGCAGGCTGATGAAGAAATACACTGCTGAGGGGAGCAGCAGGCACGGCAGGAGAGGTCTGTCGTGCCAAGTGGGACACTCGCTGGTGGCCAGGGATCGAACCAGCGCTGCAGAGGCTGCGGGCAGGTTCGCAGCCCTGCGTTCAACCGCTGCACCACCAGGGGAGGCCCCAATTATTTTTTTTTAAAGATTTATTTATTCATGCATACAAGAACTGGGGTACAGGCCAGAGGCACGGGGGGGCGAGAGGATTCACCAGAGACAGAGCGGGGAAAAAAACAGGCAGACTGACCAAAATACACTGTGAGGGGAGCAGCAGATGAGATAGGAAAGGTCTGCCATGCCATGTGGGAATCTCCCTGCCCAGCCGGGATTGAACCCATGCTGCAGAGGCTGTGGACAGCTTTACAGCACTGTGCTCAACCCAGAACAAGCTATGATGCTGTTCTCCTCCATCCCAGCTCATGGGCCTGACCTTTAATATCTTCTCCTAACTCCTTTCAAGGGTCAGGCTGTAAGTCTCCTTTGCAGCACTGGTTCCCTCATACACGAGTCTCTAATGAAGCTTTGCCTGGTTCAACTACACCTAGCAATCCCTGGTAAATTTTTTTTTCCTGGAAGGTAAAGGATCCACTCCTTTGGGTTGGGGCCTATAACATAACCAAACAGATTAAGAAAAAAAGAGAAGACACAAGTTCTTTGGTATTAAGAATTAGAGATGTGGCACTGCTATAGACTATAAATTAAATTTTTTTTTTATTATTAACAATTTTATGCCTAGTAAATGTGACAAGTGAAATGAATATGTTCTATAAGACACATGATAAGGGTTTTACAAGGAAAGTAATAATCTAAATATCCCTGTACCTATTAAAGTTAAAATTAATTTTAAAAAGATTCCCACGTTGAAAACTCTAACCCAGATGGCTTCACCAGTGTATTTACCAAATACTAAAATAAGAATAATGACAATTTGATATAATCTCTTTCAAAAATTAAAGAAAACACCTCCCAATTTATGTGGCCAGCATTAATTGAAACTAAGAAAATATAAGTTTTACATTATTATAAATGAATATATTGTTTTTTCAAACCAATTTAGTAAATCTAATTTTCAAAATTTGTACTAGAATGTATCCTTTTCCATTATTTCTTCTTGGCAAACAATTTCAATCTTATTATCTGGGATCTTACCTAGTTCAGAGAAATATAACATTATACTGTGTCAGTTGCTACATTATATTACTTCTATGCTCTTTCTAGAACTTTTAGTCCCTGTCTCCCATGACTTTTCTTCACTTATTTTGCATCTGTGCTTTTTGTTCTAGAACTTAGGGGACTTCAACTTTATTCTACACATCTCTTCTGTTTTGGTCTTTGGATGTATTAATATTATACAGCATTTTCTATTACATCTTATTTGGCAAAGATTTTTAAGAAGTATATTCTTTGATTTCTTTTGTCACAGAATCTGATAGTTAATTAAAAGTTTACTTTAAAATTCTTTAAAAATTGTTTCTGTTTCACTACATGACATGCACCTCAAAAATATCTTTACAGACACATCACCCAAAGCAGTGATAGTGAAGGCAAAGATAAACAGCTGGGACTACATCAAATTAAAGAGCTTCTGCACAGCAAGAGACAATAACCAAAACAAAGAGAACCCCCACCAACTGGGAGAAAATTTTTGCACACAACATTAATGATAAAGGACTGATCACAAAAATTTACAAACTGCTGATGAAACTCAACAAAAACAAAGAAAATAATCCAGTCAAAAAATGGGCAGAAGAGCTAAAAAGAAACTTCTCCAAAGATGAAATGCAAATGGCCAACAGGCATATGAAAAAATGTTCAACATCACTTGTAATCAGGGAAATGCAAATCAAAACTACAATGAGATACCATCTTACACCAGTGAGAATGGCACATATTAAAAAAACTAGCAACAACAAATGTTGGCCAGGATGTGGAGAAAAAGGAACTCTCCTGCACTGCTGGTGGGAGTGCAAACTGGCCCAACCACTATGGAAAGCTGTGTGAGATTCCTAAGTTTACTAAAGACAGAGCTTCCATATGATCCAGCAATTCCACTCCTAGGTATTTACCCAAAGGACAGAATCATTAATTCCAAAGGGCACCCGCACCCCTATGTTTATAGCAGCACTATTTATAATAGCTAAGCTATGGAAACAACCCAAATGCCCAAAAATAGATGACTAGATCAAGATGATGTGATACATATACACAATGGAATATTACTCAGCAATCAAAAAAGATAAATTCATGCAATTTGCAGCAACATGGATGGAGCTGGAAGGGATCATGCTCAGCGAAATAGACCAGAAAGAAAAAGAAAAATACCAGATGGTCTCACTCATAGCAGGAATTTAGAAAACCTAAATAAGAGACCAGGAAGAAGAATAATAAAGAAAAAATCAAAATCAACAAGCAACTATGAACCAGGGATACACTATGGGATGGGGGGCGGGGAGAGGAGGGATTAGGGTCAAAATAGAGGGGGTTCAATTATATAGGGAATATAACCAAAATGAAAATGCATGCATTGTGCAAAAATGAAAAATGATGTAAGGATTATATAAAATAAAATATATTAACCATTAAAAAATTAAAATAAAACACTGACACTATCGCTACAGATATATTAAAAAAAAATTGTTTCTGTTTCAAGTAATGGTAGACTAGGTAATTCAAGCAAGCATTCCCATTGAAAACAACTAAAACAAAATAAGGGGGTTGCAACTGTATGGGGAATATAAAAGTAAAATTCATATATATATATATATAAAGAAAACAACTAAAAATACTTCTAAAATAAAAATTAACAAGTAATGACTAATTACCAGGCCAGAGATAAGCTGGTAGCCCAGAGAAAAACAAAACATGGGAGAACATTTTGTCTTGAGAACACCTCCTTAACTAGAAGACAAAGCTGAAAGGCTAAGGTATATTTCTGCCAAGAGTAAAACTCTAGGGTCAAGAGTATAGTCTAGGGGCCTCCCCGGTGGCGCACATGGCGCGCAGACCTCTCCTGCCGCCCACTGCTCCCCTCAGCAGTGTACTTCGGTCCTTCTGCCTGCTCTGTTCCCCGCTCTGGCTCTGGTGAATTCTCTCACCCTCCCGCGCTTCTGACTGTACCCAGTGCATGTATAAAAGCAAAAACAAACAAACAAACAAACAAACAAATAAATAAATAAAACATGCCTCTATTAAAAAAAAAAAAGGGTATAGTCTAGTAATCAAATAATCTGGAACCCTACACTACAGCACCTAGTACTAAAGGTGAACTGGAAGTAAAATGGCTCCAATTCATCTGTAGTCTGCTTCTGAACCACCTGGTAAACCATAAAAATCTCAAGTCTGAAAAAACAATGACAGATTGAAATGGTCCCTTAGGTACTTGACAGAAAAAGCCTCTGGATAAAGATAACCTCATTATAGGCCTTGAATGATTTAGTAAGTCATTGAGTGATTCACTGCCAAACTATGTAAGTATAGATGTAATTTTTCCAAATGAATCTTATAATATCCTTATACCATAACAATAACTAAAAACAAGTCCAAAATTAAAAAAATATATATTCTGAACTGTTTATACATGAGCAGGCATTTAGAAAAATAAACAAGACAAACTGTACATATTACAGTAAGTTCAATTCAACGTTTTACAGTTTGGCTAAGTCTTTGAAACACATCTTGCACTTCAAAACACAACACCAGATAGACCTTCTTTTAGTCCCTATATTAGAAATGAATAACCTTTAAACTATTCTTGCAAGTTAAACTAGTCTGATAGTGTTTTTAAAACACAAGAGCAATGAATGTTGTTTTGTTTTCTAAGTGGTTTACTTTAGCGAAGAAGGGACCGCACCCTATGCAATAGCATGCAACATTCTATAATAAGCAAAAACAGAAGATGAACTCTGTGCAATTTAAGCAGAGTTATAGTAGAAAATATTCATGTGACTCAATATTCCATAATCTTTATAATACAATTGAGCTTATTTTCTAAATCCTAAGTATTTTCTTTGCCAAGAAATGGAAAGAGTAATTTTAAAATACTATCTTTTAGAAGTTTTACTACTTTGATAAAGTTGAGTTTTAATCTTTTAATTTTTATTCTCAAATGAATCAAAATTTTTCTTTTTAGTGTTAAAGCAGATAGAAGCAACTTTGTCTTCTTTTTATTCTCATACCTATAGTATCTGGGAGGTCTAGCAGTTCATTGTGCTGCAAGTCAAGGTTGGTTATCTGTGTACAGTTTCCAATCTCCTTTGGAAGGTGTTCAAGTTGATTGTGAGCTACATCCAGCGTAATGAGGTTACATAATTCACCTGTAAATTGACCAACATAAAAATTAATAAGGATTATTTAAAAATATACTAAATACTGAAAGAAAAATTCACTTTTTATATCAGAAGTATACTTTTTTCCAGAAAAGGTAAAAGTTGAACACAAAATCTGAAATCACCTTTTCAAGGTGACATCTGATAAAATGTGGCATGTAATTACCAAACAATGTTACATATTCTGCATTTTATGACTTACAAATTCCATACCTTATTTTTTAATTTTAAATTAACATGGACATCATTCATTCATTCATTCTACAAATATTTATTAAGTATTTACCACATGTGATACACTATCCTCGGGCTGAGGATACAATATGGAAAAAAGACAAAATTCCTGTTTTCATAGAACTTACATTTCATAAGTGGAAAAAAATCAGCAAATTAAAACATAATCAATGTGAGGAAGTATTAAAAAATGTAAAGGAATTAGCAGGATAAAAGTAAAAATGTGTAACGGAGGAAGGAGAGAGCAGAGGTGTTGATGCTAAGTATGCAGGGAAGTCTGTTTTGAGCAAGTCGCATTTGAGAGTAGACCTGAACAATGGGAGAAGGAAGAAGAAATGGAGAGTATCTTAAGTGAAGGATGCTCCATGCTGGTGACCAACAAGCGCAAAGATTCTGAGGGAAGACAATAGTTCAAAACACAACAGAATGCTGGTAGAAGAAAGAGGGAGGAGGTGAAGTAGCCACGAGTCAAACCATTCATGACCCTATATGCCAAGGTACGGGCTTCGGTGACAATGGTAAAGAGAGTGAGGTTTTGTGTGTATATCTAGAGCAGTTTTAGGCTCACAGAAAATTGCATAAAAAAGTTCAGAGTTGCAAAGATCATCTTCCCCATACAGTTTCCTCTATTATTAATATCCAGCATTAAATGTTACATTTGTTACAGTTGGTGAACTAACATTGACACATTATTAACTAAAGTCCATAGTTTACATTAGCATTCACTTTGTTTTTTCCAGTTCTATGAATCTTGATAGATGCATAACATCATGTATCTGTCATTACCATATCATACTGAATAGCTTTACTGCCCTAAATATCTCCTTTTTAGTGTTAAAGCAAATAGTAAATAGTGCATCACCTATTTATTCCTCTCCCTACCTATTTCCCTCTCTCTCTGCCAGAGTCCTTGGTTCCTGATTTTTTACTTTTGCCTTATCCAAAATATTATATAGCTGGAAATATAGAAACATATGCTATGCAACTTTTTCACTGGGCTTCACTCACTTAGCAATACACAGCTCAAGTCTTTCCATGGGTGTTTTGTTATTGGTGGCTTGAGAGTTTATTTCTCTTTTTCAGTATTCCATTATATTGGGTGTACCACAGCTTGCTTGCCCATTCATTTATGAAGGACATCTTGGTTACTTCAAATTATTAGCAATTATAACTAAATCTGCTGAAAACATTTTGAGTGTCATTTGCTGTGTGGACATAGTTTTCAACTCATTTTGGTAAATAACTAGGAGTATGATTGCTGAAATGCATGATAAGACTATGCTTAGCTTTGTAAGAAAATGCCAACTATCTTCCAAAGTGACATTTTTACTTTTCCACTAGAATGACTGAGAGTTTATGCCAGTGTTTGATATTGTCAATGTTTTTGGATTTCAGCCTTTCTGATAGGTATGTTGTGGTGGTGGTGGTGGTTGTATTTCAAAAATATAGCTTACAAGTTATGAGGCAGCTTTATGGAAAACCAGTAACAACAACGTTTGCCTCAGAAAACTTAAAATCTTAAAAAAAAAAAAAAGAAAACTTAAAATCTATTATGGAAAGTGATGGGTAACTAGAGAAGGGAGATTCTGGCTTGGTAGACTGGGGAAAGCTACATTTTAAAAGAAGTCAGGAATTACATAAATATTCCAAGAAAAAGAAATAATCTGAGGAAATTAAGAGAGAAAAATTCATCAGCTCAGCTATCCCTTTATTAGATATATATTCAATAGAAATGAGTCAATATGTTTACCAGAAGACAAGCATTAGTATAATATAGTAGCATTGTTTTTATTAGCCCCAAATTAAAAACGACCAGACAACAGGAGAATAGATAAATCAATTGTGCCATGTTCACACTATGGAATATTATGTAGGCGAACAATCTCTAAACACATCCACCAATATGATGAATAATTCAAAGTCAAAGAAGTCAGACACAAAATCATATATGATTCCATGTATATAAAAATAAGGAAAATTAATGTAATGTAAGAAGTCAGGATACTAGAGTCCCTAAATGGGAGTAGTGATTGAAAGGGATTTTCTGGTTGGCTTGGTGTTATCTTTTAAGTGTATACTGATCATACACTTTGCAAGTAACCTTTAAGTGCATAAACATTTATGTTAAGGAAATAAAATGCTGAAAAAACAAGCTCTGGCTCAAGCCCCTAGTGTGGACATGGCTTAATCCAAGCTATGGTAGAAAAACAGAAAAAGGCATTTCTTAAATTTGTATTAGATGTGTAATCTCCAACATATTCTAGTAAAATGTTGTGGTTTATCCCTATGGAAGTTCTGTAAAGTCTAAAGAACTCTGACCATGAATGGCATTAAAGATATAAAAGACTGTTTTTTTAATGGTGAAATCTCATAAGCAGGCCCTTATTAGGGTTCCATCAAATAATGTAAAACTCTTGCACTATTTAAGTTTCATAAGAACAAGCATTTAGTGTGGTATAATGCCTGATAAAGAAAAAGCACACATAAGAATTTTTTGACTGACTGAATTAATAATTTATTTTCTTTTATGTTTCAGGAAAAATATGTGTTTTATATGGTAATGTTCCTTTGTTACTGGTTAAACTCCACACTTGGTTTTGTCATGTATTTAACCACATTTTCATGAAGTTTCTATTCTGAACAGTCATATATAAAATATTTTAACATAATTAATAAAAGTCAAAACATTAAAAAATGAAAAAAAAAAAAAACTAGGAAAGCGCCAAATAATCCCCAGGAATTTGTTATTTAAGCATTTTAATGACTTGTAGTCTCTAACAGGGAGAAAAACCATTTTTCCTCCTAAAATTGCTCTTCTGTTTGCAGGATGATTAGTTTTACATCCCTAATAACTTATCTGGATATCAGAGTATCAGGGACCACAAGTCCCAATGCTTTTTGCATGTAAAACACCACCTTCTGTATCACAAAATGAAATTACTCTATTAGAGTAACCTGGGAAACCGTGTTGCTTAGATAAACAGCAGAAAGAATCCCAACATATGTCTAGTCAGTTTGACAGTTTGAGAAGGGACAATAGGCAGTATACTTCATTGTCTGGATAAAGGGTAATGTCATGCTTTAAAAGTCTTGGATAGAGGGCCTCCCTGGTGGCGCAAGGGGTTACGATGCAACCTATGAAGCTGTCCGAAGCCCCAGCATGAGTTTGATTCCTCAGCCGGCCAGGGAGCAACCCACATGGTATAGCAGACCTCTCCTGACTCGCCCGCTGCTCCCCTCAACAGGGTACTTTGGTCAATCTGCCTGTTCTGTTCCCCACTGTCTCAGGTGAGTCCTCTTACCCCCCCCACACCTCTGGCCTGTACCCCAGCTTTTGTATACATAAATAAATAAATCTTTAAAAAAAAAAAAGTCTTGGATAGAGTCTGCAATCTTTGATTCCTCTAAAGAGAGGACAAAAGAAAAATAATTTACGTTTTTCAAAGTGGAATTTTCCCCGAGTTTAAGGACATAACCAAATAGAAGCACCCTAAAAGAGTTAAATCCATGACTCTACAGGTTCAAGGTAAGTCAACAGTAATTCAATTGTCTAGAATAGAACTTAAAGCTTTTTCAGAGGATAATAACAGATTCCAAAATCATTACTTGTTTACATATATACAATATCATTCACTTTTACTACACCACGGAGTTTTTACAATGACTTCCATTTCTGGCCATCATGTAATGAGAAAATGTACAAATTATATGAGAAAAAAATGGTTTGTAGACAGTAGACAACAGCCACATATGACTATGATCCCTAATATAAAGGAAAGAAACTTAAAATGAGCACTATTTTTTGCCACAGGTTATTGCCTAGAGGCACGGTCTAGGCCATTTAAAAATAAAGCAAGGAAAAAAGGCCAACAAGTTTAACTGAGTTGTGGCAAAAAACAAACAACAACAACAACAAAAAACCCCACTGCATTTAGAAAGCTTGGGATGGGAGAATTTGGGGGGCAGAATTTGAGATTAGAAAGAAGTAGAGAGTTCTGTGCAATCTGCCAAAATGTCCCTTTTAGTATTTGGATAAGAGCCAATCCATGTTATTTGAAAAGAAATTATTAAAGGCAAGCAAAGAAGCAGTAGAAAGCAGTAGCTGAAACAGTTTCCAACAATCACACAGGACTAGAATAGCTTGAGGTCACACCAGTCAGAAAGAAAGACCTCATAATATACAGTGCCATCAGTGTTTGCAGAAATGTACAGCCTTAGCAAGGGGGATAAATTAGATCTCAACTAAAGGCTATTCTGAAACCACCAAGACATAGCTTAAAATCCAACTACAAAAGGAATTAATTGACTCCAAATAACTGCATGTCAGAACAAAGTCCAGCACTCTTTAAAGGAATACAACAAAATCTACACTCAAGAATGTAAAAATTTTAATGCTGGACATTCAATCAAATATTATCAAAGCATGTAAAGAAACAGGAAAATACCAACCACACACAGGAGTAAAGTCTTTCCATAGGCTAGAAGTAGAAATAAAAAGATTATGGAAATAGAAAACAAAGACACCGAAAATTTATTAAAAATAAACTCCCTATGCCCAAGGCAAAAAAAAAACAAAAACAAAAACAAAAAACCTTGAAAATCACACCCAAATCAAATGCATAGAGTTAAAAATACAACATCTAAAATTAAAATTTCATTGCATGGGATTAACAATAGAATTAAACACTGAAGAAAAAATTATAGCAATAAAAAAATAGCAATAGAAATTAAACACACGTACAAAATGAATAGAACATCAATGACCTAAAAGACAATAGAAAGATATCTAATATACATGTAATTAGAGACCCAGAGAACAGAAAAAGAAAGCAGGAGAACCCCCCCAACCCTGCCCAGCTCAAAAAAAAAGAAAAAAGGGAAAAAATGACAAATAAATAATTGCAAAAATATTTCCATCTTTGATAAAACCATGAACCCTGAGATCCAAGGATGCTCATAAACTTCAATCTAAATAAACATGAAGAAAAGCAATAGAGGGACACCAGTCATAAACAGCTGGAAAGTAGGTACAAAGAGAAAAATATTTAATATACAGAGAAAATAAAGCTTTACAAACACAGAAATAAAGGTAAGAAGAACAATAAAACTCTTGTCAGAAAGTAGGCAAGCCAGAAAAAACTGGAAAGCTAGGAAAAATATCTTTAAAATGCTGAAAAAGAAAACAAGCAAACCAGAATTCTATACCAGGAAAAAAAAAGCTTTCAAAAATGATACAAAATAAAGGTTCTCAGAAAAACAAAAACAAATGACTACTCATTATGAGCAGAAATACATATTTAAAAGAAATTCTGCACTAAAATACATATTAAAAGAAATTCTTCGCGCAAAACGAAAATATCAGAAATCAACATCATATATAGGGTGCCATAATCACCTCTGTAGTATTCTTGCCAGAAAAGCATATCCTCAAGCTAGTAATGAGAAAATATCATACAGAAAAAAACATATGCACACATATATGTGTACAGATATCCACACAGACACATACATGAGTGATATGCTACATATCTGTACAGTACTCTTCAAAAGTATCACTATCATGGGGAGAAAAAGATCTGTCTTCTAGCCTGTTCCACATTTTAGAGACTATAGACATATAACTATTAAATGCAATGTGATTCTGGAACAGATAAAGACCATTAATGGGAAAAAAATCAGAATTCTTTAACTTCTAACTTGCTGGTTTTAATTATTGTACAATAGGCATGTAAAGATATTAAAATTAGAAGCTACATAAAAAGAATATGAGAATTCTCTGTACTGCTTCTCCAACTTTTCTGTTCAAAAAACTTCACGAATTATTTAATCTTTCTATATTTCCAGCTCCTTCTTCAGTGTTAACAGGAAGAAGGGTGGAGAGGGCAAGAGAAGATTTATTTCACTGGGTTACTTAAAGGAAATAGTAAGACAATGTACTGAAGTATACTGGTATAGAACAGTGTATGGTATATGCCATACTATGCTCAAAGAATAGCTCTTCTTAATATTATAATGATATTATTTTTACTAGACTTTTATTTTCTCATTTCCTCTAAGAAAACAGATAATGCAGACCTGCAATGTTTGCCCCAAATCCATGCATCGAAGTTGAAGTTTACAAATCTTAACTCCTCATATGAAATATTTATGTTTATTCAGAAGAGTAGTTATTTTCTGATGCCCTGCTTGGAATAAAATCAATTAACATTTATGAAATTACTTTTTCAGAAATTATAAGAACACAAATTTTAATAATGTTACTAATGGTGGGAAGGTGCTCATTAAAAAACAAATTCAATGGTTATTTTTAAAGTTACAAACAGGAATGAAAGTCAAAAAATTAGGCCATTACAAATATCAACAATTTAATAAAATCACTTTTAATAAAAATGATATTATCTATATGCTCAATAATGAACTACAATAAGTTTAAAATCCTGTGAAATAATTTCTTGCTTAAATAATGTATAGTCTTAATTCCCAAGTAATCTGATAATATCTCCATGAGAAAAAAATCTTTAAAGAATGACTCTCCCATAAAGCAAACTTTGCAGATGGGATATTAATACATACACAAAACAATAAGAACAAAGACAACAAATAACATTTTATACTCCTACGTAAAAATACAACATTTCTTTCTCAAACAGCCTATACCTCTACTCCACAATGGACTATATACACAGGTCTTAATTCACCTATTTTATTTAGAATTTGCCTTTCACACAAAAAGAAAAGTTTCCGGGCCTCCCTGGTGGCACAAGGGGTTAAGTCTCAGCACTATGAAGCTATCAGCAACCACTGCAGCGTAAATTCGATAATGCACATGGCGCAGAAGACCTCTCCTATCTATCATGCTGCTCCCCTCAGCAGTGGATTTCAGTCAATCCGCCTTTTCTGCTCCCCACTCTGTCTCTGGTGAATCCTCTCATTCCCACCCCAACCCCCCGCACCTCATTTAAAACAGTGCAAAATACAGAAAAGTAAGCACTTTCGAAATGAAACAGAATATCAAATTTCTTATGACACTGCTCTTCTCATTGCCGATCCCTTTAGGAAATTAGGTAGAAAAGTGATAAAAATTTAAACAAACATTTTTCAGGTAAAAAAAAGGGAACATGAATGTTATAATGGGAAAATGTAGCCTTAGTACATTGAATGTAATTACATAAGTCAATACTTTAAAAATAGACAGCGACAACTTCAAAATTAGGAGAACATCTTTTTTCTTGCTTCAAATTCACTTATGCTCCAATGAAAATGAGAACTGAGTAGATCTGCGTGAAAAAGGGTCTGTTACAGCTATGTTCCAACTCACTCTCAGGTCTATAAGCTCAAACATGTAACATTAATATTGATAAAATTTAATAAAGTAAGCCATAGTGAAAACAGAATTTAGAAACCAGCTATTTCTAGGCAAGTATCAGATATTTTCTGACATGAAAAAGCACTCAACAAAATTATTAAGCATTACAAATACCACACACACACAAAGTAACCCAAAGCCTCTTACCAATTTCAGCAGGTAGTTGTTTGATTTTGTTCTCTCGAATGCTGAGCATGCTGAGTTTTGACAGGTTTTTGATGTCCTTTTCCACAGTAGTTATACGATTGAAGCGAAGGTAGAGAGTGGTGAGAGAATCTAGCCTGTACACCACTGAAGGAATTTCTCTCAGTTTATTATGCCGTAAATCAAGCATCCGCAGCTTCTTCAAGTTATCAAGAGAGTCAGGCAAACTGGTAAGTGAATTTTCACTCAGAGCCAGTGTCATGAGATTTACTAGACAGCCCACCTCAGCAGGAAGGGACTGCAATTTGTTGCTATATAAATAAAGTTCTGTTAATTGAGTCAATTCTTTGATTGACGGTGGCAATATGTGTATAGACCTTTTGGATAAGTCCAAACGCATTGAATTCTCTTCTCGGCATTTGTTGAGCTCTTTTATCACCTCTGCATTACTAGATTTTTTCCTAGTCCCAGGTGCTGGATTTGGTCTTTTGATCGTATTGTCAACTGAAAAAGCCACCCCTGGCTGGGCAGTGCTGGGGTCTTTCTTCCCGTCTTTGGCATCTTTCCCTTTGGTCTTAGGTTCTTTTTCTTTGCTGTCTTTCCCAAAACCTCCAGAGGCTTTTGCCTCCTTTTCTCTTTCCTTGGCTGATGGTACTTTGGGATCTTTCTCTTTAGAGTCTTTTTCTTTTCCTAAACTACTACTCATGGTTACTCAACCTCGGACAAAAACTACATGAACTCCTTTTATCTTATTTGCCAACAAAAGTAATTGAAATTCGAAGATGAAGAGACAAAGATCCTACACAATCAGAAAAGGTGCTGGCTTGAAAAAGTAATCACCATGGAGTAACAGCCATCTGTTACATGTTGTCGTTAAAAGCACTATGCCCATTTCTGGCAATTCATTCCAAGTGGTAAATGGTGCTGGTCAATCAATGATTCATTAGGATTTCTGAAATACAACAGAGAGAGAGTATTAAATTACTTTAGAGCATAATTTACGTAAAACAAATGACCTCTGAAAAAAATCTTATTGGCAATTTTACTATTTTCCTCTGACTTGATAATGTAAATATGCAAATTCCATCAAAAACTATAAACATTGGGGCGTTCCTGGCAGCATAAGGGGTTAAGACGCAACCTATGAAGCTGTCCACAGCCACGGCAGCACCAGTTCGATCCCCAGCCAGCCAGGGAGCAACACACATGGTGCAGCAGACCTCTCCTGTCTCACCTGGTGTTCCCCTCAGCAGTGTATTTCAGTCAATCTGCCTGTTCTGCTCCCCACTCAGTCTCTGATGAATCCTCTCACCATCCACACCTCTGGCCTATACCCCAGTTCTTATATGCATAAATAAATAAATCTTTAAAAAAAACTATAAACACTAATAAGGCAGGCCCTGTCTTCAAGGAATTTACAATCTAATTGAAAAAGGTAAATATATAAATTTGCTACAGTAAAAAATTTTATAAAAGTGGGAGAGATCACAGCAGCTGGTAATGTTTGAATATTTTCTGTGTATAGACACTGTTATGTAATTACCAGATAGGTTTAAGAAAGGATTTCAAAGGTGATGACAGAATGGAAAGCAGTCTGACAAAAGAATAAAATGAGCAAACAAATATGTAGTGAAATATGAAGAATGGCACATAGTTCAGGAAAAGGGGCATTAAAAACCTGCAGTTCAATAAACACTAAGTGATTCTTATATGAAGGTAGATTTGGAAGCACCTTAAAAAAAAAAAAGGCAAAGAGAAATTTCCAAAAACACCTATATTCTAGAGGTGGAAAAGTGAAAACATTTTTTTTAAAGATTTATTTATTTATGCATATAAGAGCTGGGGTACAGGCCAGAGATGTGGGGCATGAGAGGATTCACCAGAGATAGAGTAGGGAACAGAACAGGCAGACTGACTGAAACACACTGCTGAGAGGAGCAGCGGGCGAGTCAGAAGAGGTCTGCTGCCCCATGTGGGTTTCTCTCTGGCGGGCCGGGGATCGAACTCGTGCTGCAGAGGCTGCAGACTGCTTCATCGTGTGGTTCTTCTTAACCCCTTGCGCCACCAGGGAGGCCCATGAAAAATATTTTTAAGAGATCTTAAAAGCAGAAAAAGTTCACTGATAAAATGACTGACCAAAAGGTGTCCACACAAAGGCTGAAAAATGAGAAGAATATTTGTAGGGTCCCAAAGTTTTTCAAAATTTAAAATTATTTTTATGGGCCTCCCCTGGTGGTGCAGCGGTTGAGCGCCAGGCTGCAAAGCTGCCTGCAGCCTCTGCAGCGCCAGTTCGATCCCCGGCCACTGGCGAGGGTCCCACATGGCGCACAGACCTCTCCTGCCGCGCCCACTGGTCCCCTCAGCAGTGTATTTTGTCAGTCTGTCTGTTCTGCTCCCCACTCTGGCTCTGGTGAATTCTCTCACCCTCCTGTGCTTCTGACTGTACCCAGTGCTTGTATAAATAAATAATCCTTAAAAAAATAATAATAATTTTTATTTTGTAACTATTATTAATTTTGTAACTTTGGTACTAGGGCCATAAGATTAAAGACAAAATAATATTTTACCTAATTAGCTTAAGAGGTTTAACAAAATTTTATCAAACCATCAAAAGTATTTGATAGTCTAACTGCACAGGAGTGTAGTAAGGATTTCTATGTAGGCACTGTGAAGCTATCCGCAGCCTCTGCAGCAAGGGTTTGATACCCGGCCGGCCAGGAAGCTACCCACATGGTGCAGCAGTCTCCCATGCTGCTCCCCTCAGCAGTGTATTTCAGTTAATCCACCTGTTCTGTTCCCCACTCTGTCTCTGGCGAATCCTCTTACTCCCAACCCCCCCCCAGCCTGTACCCCAGTTCTTGTATGCATAAATCTTCTTTTAAGAACTGGTTGGAGGGCCTCCCTGGTGGCGCAAGGTGTTAAGACGCAACCTGTGGGGCTGTCCGCAGCCACTGCAGCATCAGTTCGATCCCTGGCCAGAGAGCTACCCACATGGTGCAGCAGACCTCTCCTATCTCGCCCGCTGCTCCCCTCGGCAGTGTATTTCAGTCAATCGCCTGTTCTGTTCCCCACTCTGTTTCTGGTAAATCCTCTCACCCCCCACGCCCTGGCCTGAACCCTAGTTCTTGTATGCATAAATAAATCTTTAAAAAACAAAACTGATTGGGAAAAAAGTTAGATAAGACAGATCTATGATAAAACTCAGATGGTCTATTTCTTGGTTTAAGGAGATTCTATTTTTCCTGAAGCCCTTTCAACACTGTCAGTTAACATACTCAGGTTATCACATATAGGAGTTTGTTTAGCACTTACTGGGTCTACACCCATTAAAAAAGCTTTTAAAAAACCTGTACTGCTTACAAATAAATTATTAGCATCAATATCAGTGCTTGGGGTATAGCTGATGCTCAGTAAGTACTGATTAAATGAATAAATCAAATGGAGATTTCATTCTATATAGCCTGTATTAAAAGAACATCAGACATTTAAATTTTAATCTCAAAGACAAAAGTGCTTTAAAAATCCATTGCACTAAAGGCGATTTACTATCCTTCTAATTTAATGCTGACATTAATATTTTCTTATCACATGAGAATAGTAGTCTTTAGATTACTTATTTGCTATAGTCCTGCCACCTAAACCATATCACTCCACCTACTCAATGTTGAAAAAAATCAGCCAAATTACATCATTGTATTATTAATTCAAATATCTACTCCAGGACAATGCCTTTCAATGAAGAAAAACTTTTAAAGATATTATAAATACTAAATTAGAATAAACATATAATTATACATAAAAAACATCAGGGATCAAAGGAAGGACCTGAATTCTCCTCCTCCACAGACACAATAAATCTACACTATACAACTAGATATGGCGTAAACTCAGAAAAATGCCTGAAAACTGTATGAATAGAGCCTACCCAACAAAGAATAAAAGGCAGCACCAAGACTGGTAGAAGAGACAGAGTTTCATTCTTGCCAAAGAAGAAATCCTACCCTAGCACAACAATTTGTGGCAGTAGGCAGAGAGATCTTAAAGCTACAGAACATGTCCCTCGCGGGTAGGGAAAAGTGATGTACACTGCATCGGGCACACCAATCCTTCAATACTGTGCAGTGGAGATAAGTAGCTGAAACACGAGACATTGAGGGCTGAGGAAAATATGCCCAGGAAAACCAAAGAACTATAGGGAACAGAGAAGATGACCTCACAAGGCCCAAGCACAGACTCACTGACACCAGGACCCAAAGCATTAACACCACTCAGAAAAGTCCCTGGAACTAAGTGAAGGAACCCAACTTACTATTCATACAGCATCTGTCTGAAAAGCAGGAAACTTTAGAGATGATCCCCAGGGTTAAAAACACAAGCCAGTACCATTTTGGCAAATTCACAACCTTGCTAATACTAGCTCCACTGGGCACCATTTTGGAATCCTCCCTCCAGTTTGCAAGAGCTGGTGAACAAGCACCATTGAAGGTTCCACCCACCCTACATGACTGAAAATTACAGTCCTGTGCTGAAACCACGATCCACTGCCAGGCCAGGCTGGCAGCCATGCCCACACAGTTTGCTGCAGCCTAGCCATGGCAGGCAGGACATGCAGTCCACACTGAGGATGCACCTTGAGCACTGAGCTCTGGCAGCCAATGGAAACTGAACTAGGCCAATAATTCAAGACTGGGAGAGGTAGATCTGCTAAATACATAGAAACAAACAGAGAATTAAGCAAAATGGAGAGACTGAAGAATATGCCCCAAATGAAAGAACAAGAATTAATGCCAAAAAATGCCTTGAAGAAACAGATAAGCAAACTACCCTGAGGAAGAATTCAAAGTAATGGTTACAAAGATTCTAAGTGAAATGGAAAGAAGAATGGATTAACACAGTGAGAATTTTACACAAAAAGAAAATTTAAGAAAGATCAAACAGAAGTTACAGAGCTGCAGAATAAGATAGGAGAACTGAAAAGACAGCAAAGGGTTTCAACAACAGACTGAATGAAGCAGAAGAATGGCTAAGTGAGCTGGAAGACAAAGCAACAAAACTCACCAAGAGAGCAAATGAAACAAGAACTAAAAAGAAAAAGTGCCCTAAGAGACCTCTGGGACAACATCAAGAGGAATAATATTTGCATTACAAGGGTATAAAAAAAAAAAAAAAAAAAAAAAAAAAGATGATGAAGGGCCAGAAAAAAATATTTGAGGAACTGATCGTTGCAAACTTACAATTTGAGGAAAGCAGCAGCCACAATGGCATAAGATGCCCAAAGAGTTCTAAAAAAGAGGAACCCAGAATCCCACACCAAGATACAGTATAATTAATAAGGTAAAAATTAAAGACAAAATGAGGATGTTAAGGGCATCAAGAAAAAGAAAGTAGCATGTCAACAGAAGTGAAACAACATAAGGCTAGCAGCAGACTTTTCAGAAGAAACCTTGTGTGCCCGAAGTGAGTGGCATGACATGTTCATAGTGCTGAAAAGAAAATTTTCAAATAAGATTTCAATACTCAGCAAAAATTCTATTCAGATTTAAAGAAGAGATCAATAGCTTTCCAGACAAGCAAAAGCTAAAGGAGTTCACTAAATCAGCACTGCAAGGAATGCTAAAAGGATGCATCTAAACTGAAATTAAAAAGGTACTAAATAAAAGCAAGAATGCATACAAAAGAAGAAAATCTAACTGAAAAATATACTCACAGTAGCAGATCAACCACCCAGGAAACAGATTAAAAGATAAGAGCAGTAAAATTAACTAAATTATGGCAATTAATCAAGGAAATTATATAACAAAAAGATCTGAGACATTACAATTTTTAAACATGAGGGAGATAAAAATGCAGTTTTGGAGTGCTCAAGTGTAAACGGCAACAAACTCAATACAGATCAATACATATATCCTATTACATCAATCAAATGGAAATAATCTCTGGAAAACCTAACCA